ATTGGACATTTTTTGTGCCCGAGCACATGCCGGCCTGCCCCACTTCCCCCCCCCCCAAAAAAAAAAATCTGGAAAAAAACTCTGTTATGTCGAAATACAACGCAACAACATTTGGCAGAGGGGCGCCTCAGCATTTCTTACAGAATCGAAGATAAACAACAAGACAAAAGAATCAAACTAAGGCAACCCCCTTTAAACCCTTTTAAGCCCCATATATGCCCCCATGGTGACGCAGGACCCGCACACCGGACCAATCCAGATGTCCGGCCGGCCCTCTGTCTGGACTGCACCGGACCAATCCAGATGATCGACTCCCACCAGCAACAACAAAAAAAATAAAATTATTTTTTCCACTTGGATTTCAAGATGGTCCTCAGCCAAAAGTTTTCTGTATTGTAATGCTGCATAACTGCCATAATGTTTTTTTTTCCAGATCTTTTTTGTTTTTTTTTAAGTCGGATTTTTTTGGGGGGGGGGAGGTGATCTGGACACTCTGGACCGGGCAACGGAACCGAACATCCAAACCCAGACTGTTAGCACTGGCCCCCGGACGTCCGAACAGTAATCATGTCTATTTCCCCGTGCAGGAACCGGGCGGGTGACTCGCACGGCCTGCACGGGCGTGCAGGCCTGGTAGCCTGGGAAACGAGAGAAAGAAAAAAAAGAAACAAAAGATGTCGGAAATGGGCTTGGAATGGTGTGATATGCTTTTTGTTCTGAAATGGGCAGAGGGAAAGTTCAATCAACGAATGGTCTTTGCTCTCTGTCTGTTCAGTTAATTGAGGATTATGGGTGGGCAAAAAAAAAAAAAAAAAAAAAAAAAAAAAAAACAGAACAAAACACGAGGCAAAAACACATTTGTGGCCTACAGCGTGGCAAGTTGGCAACAACGGCGCGACGAAAAAAAAAAAAAAAAAAAAAAAAAAAAAAAACAGAACAAAGAATAAAATGGAAAAATTGAAAAAGGGAACAAAAGATGAGTCGATGGGTAAACAAGGAAGGGTGTGATTGCTTGTTTGTTGTGTTGGCTATCGCAGAGGGGAAAGTAAATAATATCGGGCATGACCATATCGGGGTTCTGGTCCTGGACCATTTCAAGGCGTCTATAGGGTTTGGCTGCATCAGGCAAGATCTGCGCTATGATGAAGACGTAAGCTCTGTTTCTCTGTTTATGTTATTTTAACTTTATTTATTTATTTATTATTGCATTTGTTGTCCAATGGCCCTCCTGTTTCTTTTTTTTTTTTTTCTTTTTTTTGGTCCTTTTTTTATTGGTCCCTTTTTTCTTTTTTGTCCGTTTTTTYTCTTTTAATATTTGTGTCTCGGTTCAATCTGTTTTTGACCATTCAAGGCATCTGGGGGGGTTTGGCTTTGCAAGACGAAAAATGGAAGCTGCTGCTTTTTTTTAGTCCTTTTTTGTCCTTATCATCTTTTTCGAAGTTTTTTCCCTTTTCCCTTTTTTATTTTTATTTTTTTCCTGGCTTCCAAATGCGGGTAGGGAAACCTGAACAGTGTGAACAGTGTCCAACTGATGATGGTGGGAGAATTTGAGGGTATTAAGTTATAACCCCCCCCCCCCCTCCGGGGAAAAAACCTTTGTTTCCTTTCTTTTCAGTTTTTATTTTATTTTATTTTATTTTTTATTTTAAGCCTTTGTTTTCATTTGCCCCCCATCACTGAAAAAGACATTCTGGGCTCTGGGCTCATTTTTTAAGCCATGTTTGCACAGCGGACGTTACCGGCCCAGCCAGGGTGAAAAAATGACTCGACAAGTGATTCTCTACTAAACATTTTGCAAGTACCTGGACTGTTTATGGACTAGATACATTCTGACGGGCCGGTTGGGACTGAGTAGAGGTAGGGCCTGACCTAGGCCTCGGGAATGAGCAAAACATGTTAAGTGGGGGTGTGAAGAGGTTTTTAGTCGCTAATTTAATTTAATTGTTAGTTTTATTCGTTTTTCCACATTTTTTATCTCCAATTCGGTAAAGAAAATTGACCGAGGATTATTTGGTGACCCTCCGCCAGAAAGAATTTGTATGTGTTTAACTTCCAATTGCTCAAATTTGTTTTTCTTCGCTGCTGAATTGTTTTCTGCAAAAGAGGAAATAAAGACGGAGAAAACTGAAAATTTTAAAAATTGACGAAAAGAAGTCCTTCGACACATTCGTTTAAAAAAAATGGAATGATACAAAGAAGATTAATTAAAAAAATGGTCCCCCTGTATTCAAGGATGTCATGCATAAATTAAAAAATGGTGCCCAAAAAAAAAGAAAAAAAAGAAAAGGCAATTCGAAAGTCCATGTTTTGTGCACCCCGATGGGCAGGTTGTGTGGCTGGCTCTGTGGCCAAGATGTCTGGATCTGCCTGGCCTGCTGGGATCCAGATTTTGAGCCATATATACAAATATACAAATCTGATGACCTCATGGGGTTTATAAAAAAAGCGCACCATGTATCTAGTGCTTGCATCTCGTTTCGAAAAGGTTCTGCGGTAAAGTATTATGTAAAAATAAGTAGATAATTAGAGTAAATAAAAAAACAACTTAAAATGCGTTAAAAAATAATCAATAATAATAATAAACTAGGTGACTTGACTCGCCGACTGTGCAGCCCRAGCAGTCGCCCAGGGGTCACCTACACGGGGCACCTTGTGCAGGCCAAAATCAGCCCTTTTTTTTTTTTTTTTTTTTTTTTTGTTTGGATGGTGGCGTTCCCCGCATTCCCAGAGGAGGAGCTCGAATCCTGGCTCCTTTCCTTTTTTGCGCGTTGGCTGTCAAAGGGGCGGAAATTGGGTATAAGTGCATCTGAAAAGGCGATTGAAAAACCACCAGTGCATCTGAAAAAGGAGATTGATCCTTTCCTGAAAAAAAGGCGGCCATGAACCGCCAACTCATTTTATGGATGGTCCATGGCCTTCAAATTTTTAGGAGAGGCTCAATTTGCTTTTTCAGATGTACTGGTGGTTTAAGGGGCTAAAGGTGCATTAGTCTGGATCCTTTTTTTTCCTTTTAATTTTTATTTCCTTATCTTTGAATTCCCTGATGAATTCTGATGCGACCCTCAGCCAAATGTTGTTTGCATTGCAATTCTACACAACATTTTTTTTTTTAATAAATGGAACTTTCTGAAATCGTTTTTTTTTTTTTTGGGGGGGGGAAGGGGGGCTGGGGATGCCTGGAACCCTGCCCTGGGTTCATTCCCGGCCGGGCACATGGGTGTGTTATCTGGGCGTAAGTTGGGTGCCTGGGGGCTTGGGAAAACAGCCTAGATAGTAAGTGAATAAAAAATAAAATTTAATAAATGTCATATAATAGTATTTTGCCGATGTACAAATGTGTACAGTGTACGGTTGTGAGAAAAAACTTGTTTTGGCTGCTGGGTCTTCATACAGGTTGCCTATTAGACTATTGCTTTTGGAAATGCATCTGGCCAGTTATGTCGAACGAGTCCTATTGTGCATATCAGCACGTTTGCTTTTGTTCGTAAATAATGTATTTGGCCGTCATTGTGGCCACAGTTCATTTGAACACGCCCTTGGTGATTGATGGTATGATTGGTTGTGGCAACAACAGACAAACTCCTGGATTAGCATCGATGACGAGGAGCATTGCATTGCGGTGGGCGATGAAATTTGCTTCACGATTGGGAGGTAAGCTCGCATGCATCACACACACATCACGGCACATAGATGCAGACTCTCTTTTTTTTATATTAAAGATTAGACACGTGTTTTTTGTTTTTTTCCCATGTTCAAAAGAAAATGCCACCTTTTTCTTTTCCTGTCGAGAGGTAGTAGGTCCTTGAGAGGAGTGAAAAAGCGAGGACAGTGCAGACAGAAGTGGGACTGGAACTCATAAAAACGAAACTGAAAAACGAAATCGAGGACAGAAAAGAAAAGGACACATCGATTTTGGCACCTGTTGAAATTGGAATGATGCAGATAAGATTACAATCCCAGCGATAGCCCCTGCCCACCCCCCCACCCCACACACAAAAAAAAAAAATCCAAGAAGTGCCAGAAAGTGGGTCAACAATGAGTGAAAGATGAAGCAGGGAGCGGTGTGACGAAGTAAACAGGGGCGAAAGTGGGTCAACAATGAGTGAAAGATGAAGCAGGGAGCGGTGTGAAGAAGTAAACAGGGGCCAAGTCCCACTAGCAGCATCGAGTTTTGTCAACGCCCGAACCTGGACGTGTTTGTGGAGATGTGCAGAAATTTCGTCAAGTTTCCACATCCGCACATCTTCACAAACATGTCCAGATTCGGGCGTTGAGGAAACTGGATGGTGCTAGTGGAACTGGGCCCCAGGGAGCAATGCTGAAAACAAACAGAGGAGCACAGTGTGAAACGGAGAAAGTGGTCGCGAAGTGGAAAACTAGTTAAAATGTGTGCTGGGCAGGTGACCAGCACAGTCGCACCTGACCCGGGCAGGCACGGGTGCACTCGCCCGAGAAAACTGGGCGGTTAAAAGAAGGGCAGGGATTAAAAAATTGGCGGGTAAAAGAAGGGCAGCCTCAGTCCCTCGCAGGTATATCTTGTCTTACCTCTTGTTCTTCTAGGTTAATTTTAACCTGAAATGAGTTCCTAGCAGATCCTTGAGCTTTTTTTTTTTTTTTTCCCCTTGAGGAACACGATGTTGCGTTAGAAACCGAGAGGCCTTGTCGTCACATTATCCCGTAAGTTCGTGAAAAAAGTAAACAACGAAAATAAAACATGAAAAAATTGACCCCTCCATCCCGCCGGCTGGCTCTTCTCCTACGAGCTTATTCCGCTTCGCCACCCCAGTCAAACTTTCTGAGCTAAATCAACTTCGTGTCCTTTTTTCTCTTGTGGTAGACCTACTAATTTTCTCTTGTGGTAGACCTACTATGATGTTGTAGACCTACTAGGATGTGATCGCCTGGACTACTCTCCCACCCTAGCTACTCGATCTACCCAACCACCTCTCACACTCTCTATCCACTTTGCGCCTGCTAGATGTCACTGAACTCCGATCACATAAGAACCCTTTGGCCAATGCGAGGTAAGTATCCGTCAGTTCCCGCGGTGCTCCTTTCCCTGATCTCCTCCTCCATTCGCCACGCTCTCCCGAGCCTTGCACTGCTTAGGTTTGGCAGGCCGGTGCGGGCTCAGGCAGCCACAGCTATGCCACCTCCTTGTCAACGGTGCTCAACTGGCTGCTCTAACACTGTTGCCTGCTGCCCGCTTCGCCTACATGTGCGGGCTGCCCTGGCGTCTCCAACTGTGCTCTATCTTCAGTTATGGTCGGTTCCTATGCCGACTCCTTGTCAAGGGCTCTGGCTCCTACCGGTCTGGGTCGGAGGCCATCCATGTAAACTACCCCTGGCGGTGTCCCGACTGGGCCTACCGGGTCGTTACCTAGGCTGGGCTCCAACGAGGGGCTCATTTCTTGCCCCGGCACGACTGTCACTTAGGGTTGGGCTACTTTTCGCGCGTGGCCTTTTCAGTGGGCCCCTGAGTCCTGTAGCCTCCCTTTTTTTTTTCTTTTTCTTTTTCAAACATAAATCTATTTACTATTTAGAGTCTTTTAGACTATTTTCACACGGACGTATTGCGTAATGCTTTGTATGACCGAACAGGGTTTGAAAATTTGAACTGCTTGGAATGGATCATGATTAACAAGTGTCGCCACCTTGATTGTTGTCCTTGCAACCGTAAATCTTGTTCCTCCCTCAAAGAAATAAAAGGTCATTTGCTGATGTGGCAGTGTGCAGATAGATGGGGACTTTGTGGACATTACTGGCTCCCTGCTCGAGGCGCGCACAGGTTCAAAGGCATGGTTAGCGAGCCTTCCAAAAGACGGTCAAGACAATGGCAGGTGGGTCGTCATATCTCTTTGACGATGTATATATATCGTCAATATATAGTCAAACAGAGCTGCCCGGTAAACCGTAGGCAGAGAGGGAGAAGAGGACAACAAACGAGGGGCTATATATATGTATCTATATAATATATTTTAGTGTTTTTTAACTTTTTTTCATTTTAATTAAAGAAGGTAAAGTGCATGTGTGTGTGTGTGTTTGTGTGTTGTTAAAGCACCCCAAATTCTCTCTCTCATTTTCTCCACAAATCATAACAAACCATCCATAATGAAAAAGTATAGATAGACAATATAATAGAAAGAAAATGCAAGGTTGGAGTCCTTCGGGACATCCGTTAAAATTGGAACGATACACAGAAGATTAGCATGGCCCCTCCGCAAGGATGACACGCATAAATCGAGAAATGGTCCAAATTAAAAAAATAATAAAAAAATGCAAGGTTGGCCACGTTTGTTTGGTTCAGCGCCAAGTGCCCACACACCCGTCTGCCGCCAAAGTGTTTTTTTTTTTTGTGTGTGTGTGTGCGTGCGTGTGTGTGTGTGTGCGTGCGTGTGTGTGTGTGTGTGTGTGTGTGTGTGTGCTTGTACGTTCCAATTGTCTGCATAGCATGCTATGTGTGTGTGTGTGTGTGTGTGTGTGTGTGTGTGTGT